ATCACAGCTCACAGCAACCTCCAACTCCTGGGCTCAAGTGAGTCTCCTGCCTCTGCCTCCCGAGTAGCTGGGACCACAGGCGCCTGCCACAACGCCTGGCTATTTTTTTGTTGCAGCCGTCATTGTTGTTTGGCGGGCCTGGGCTGGATTCGAACCCACCAGCTCAAGTGTATGTGGCTGGTGCCTTAGCCATTTGAGCCACAGGTGCCGAGCCAAGGTCTATGGTTCTAACACTCTAGCATTGCAAGGCTTTCTCTTGGCTTATGCATCTATGGAAACCCAGGACAGCCAGGTATAGTATTCACTTACAGGTAGCTTCAGTGGTCCGGCGACTGTAAGACTTGCGGACACGGTACCTGACCACTAGTTCACCTCTTTCCACTGTTGGTTCAAACACTTCTCTGGGAGAGGGGCACAGATGGAGAGAGGTTGAGGGTAGGGAAAGACCATGTGGAACCCCTTCCTTCCACCAGCAGTTAAGCAAGCACCATCCCAACCCCAACCTCTGACTACCCTCTCATTTGCTGAGCATGTCTTGGACTGCAACCTTCTGCCTTCTGTTGCTTCCCCAACCCCATTGCGCTCATTCCGATTCTTGGTTATCTTTCCTCCAGCACCAGCCTCCTCATGGTCTCCCTGCCTCCAGCCTCTCCATCCCAGTCCACAGAAGCCTTCCTGTGGGGCTCCAACTCACCCATAGCGTGTCTCCTTCTTCCGCCGATGGACAAGGAATAGGGCCAAGATGAAGATACAGGCAGCGGCCACAACTGCTCCCAGTAATACATACCACCAGGGCCATGAGAAGGCGGGAGCTGGGGGCTCACTCACTGTCGGGGGCAGGGGGACAGGTCACTGCTAAGGCCCTAGATCCAGCTCCCTGGGACTCAAGAGAACGATGCGAGAGAGGAAGTAGGAGGCATGGAAAAAGATGTGGACGTACTTGATGAGGTATGTGATGAGTGCATTCAAGAACCTGGAGAACCTGAGGCTGCACTGTGCAAGGCACACGGCATGCAATAGCTGTGATGGGAGTGTGCAGTAAAACAGAAGGAGTGTGAAAGTTTTAGGACGAATGAGTTAAGAGTGGGATAGATATTTGAGAAGTGCGGAAAGGGAGTAAGAGACATGGGTAGTGAGGGTGAAAGGAGGTTAAACGAACAGAAGCTGAGTGTGAATAAATCTCACGCTGTGTAGTTGTGTGTGAGATACGTGATGACAGCACCAAGAGGGCAGACTTGGGTGTGGAAAATAGGCGAGTGGAGAATTCATGCAGGGCAGGATGGTGAATGAGGTGTGTGCAAGGAATGTGGAAGTGGGGTGAGGCTGGTGAGCAAAGGACTAAGTCATATCTTTGAGGAATGAGAAATAACTAGAAAAGACTTTTCATAAAGCAAGGAACAAGGGTGAAATAAATTTACAAAGGGGAACAGTAAGTGTACCCAGATTGGGTAAGTGCACCTGGTATAGAATGGCTGTTGGAGGGGTTTGGGGTGTGTGAGGAAGGAGAAGTAGAAATTCAAGAAGTTGTTGATGCAAGGAGTGAGCAATGATTGGTAAGGATGTCAGCTCGGTGTGTGAGGAGTGTGCAGTGAGCATGTAAGAGATGGGAGAGGGGCAAGTGACGACTATGGGATGCATGGAAGGTGGTGCCAAAAGGGTGGGAGCAGAATGGAGCATGGAAGGTCTGGAGAATGGGTATGTGCTGAGTGTACAAGGAGCTCAGTGTGAGTGTGAGTAGGAGTGGGATGGGTTAGGACTGGTAAGGGGTGAGGGATGGGTATGCAAGGAGACCTAGAAGGTGTGGGAGAGTTGTGGACTAAAAGTTTTTCAGTATCTGTAAGGGGGAACGTATGGTGTGTACAAGGTGTGTAGAGTTTGTGAAGGAGAAGTGTGGGTGTCCAGTGGCTTCAGGGGGGAGTGTGTACGAGGAATGAAGCAACAAAGAGCTGTACATGAAGGAAGGGTGAGATGAGAATGGAAAGGGTATGTGCAGAAATGTGGGAAGATATTGCGAAGTATTTACAGACAGTAGGTTGGGTTTCAAGAGGTGAGTTATAATAGTGCTGGGGGGTACAATGGGTGTAGGAGAAATGGTTGAGAATTGTTGGAGAAATATTTGAGAAGGATGGATGTGGGGAGGATATCTACCCATCTATCTGTCCATCTGCCTATCCATCCCTCCATTTATCCATCCATCCATCATCCATCCACCCACATGTCCATACATGCACCCACCCATTCACTCATGAATCCATCCACCATCCATCCACATCCATCCACTCACCCATCCAGCCATCTATCTATCCATCCATCCACCCTCCATTCATCTATCCACCCATCTACCATTCACTGAATACCTACAACATGCTGTGCCATTCAGGCACCTCCATCAAGGACCACACAAACCCAAGAAGTAGATTAGAGTGAAGAGTTTGAGAAACATGACAGGGTTGTTGAATGAGTATGTGTGGTGGCAAGGCCCTCCCTGGATGTTGAGAGGAGGGAGAGAGAAGAGGGGGTGCAAAAGCCCTTACCCAGCTGGTGGATTGGCTGTCCTTGCCCTGTGAGGAGAAAGGACAGAAGGGAGACGTGCTCAGAGAGGGCAAGACTGGTGTGACATGGGTGAGGGAGCAAGATAGGCTTCCAGTAAGGTGCAGGGTAGGGTCAGAGACTAGACCAGGGGCAGGTACCGAAAGGGGGCAAGTCAGTGGTGTCAGGGAGAGACAAGGTCCCTGCAGGTATGCTGAAGCAGGTTGAGCATGGCTTTAGACTTACCTGGGCGCCAGGGCTCCAGAGGAATGGGGAGGCTCCAGGGCCCATCCCCAGCAGCAGTATAGGCTGCCACACGCACTGTCAGGTTAGGCACAGGCCCATCCCCCCGAAGCTCCAAGGTCACATCTTGCTTTAGCCCTATGTCCAGTAGCACCTAGGAGGTCCAGAAATGGCATCAGGGTGAAACCCCAGGCCCCTAACTCTTTAGCCTTCACCTACTGCCCATCTCTTTCTCAAAGCCCTCTCCTCATCCTCCAGTACCTCATTCCTCTCCTCTTCCTCCCCTTCATCTCTTACCCCATCTTTCCGTCTTCATCTCTCTATCTCTTTCTACCTTCCTTTCCCATCCTCTCTCTCCACCTCTGCATGTTTCTAGCCCAGATAGTGCCCTTGTGCAAATTAAGAAAAGGTACTCCTTCCCCAAGATACTATACAACCATTCACTAAGATTATTATAGTAAATATATAAATCTACTAAAATGTTGTTGCTGTGGTTCATAAATAGTCCCTTCTCTGGACCCCCTGAAACTTCCCAGAATATGTTCCCCTAGGGGTAGTTCAATTGTGTAATACCCATCTGCAAAACTGTCCATGTCTACCTTGCCACCTTCCCCTCCCCATCTCCCTCTTCCCCCAACAACTCTGCCCCAACCCACCCAGCAGCACCCACCTCAGGGGTGTCCTGGCCTCGATATGCCAGCCGGTACCCTAATAGGGTGCCCTGCAAGGGCGCCCTTGGCTCCTGCCAACGCACGAAGGCCTGGCTCCCATTCCGCATGGCACTAACGTTCTCAGGGGGGCCCAGGGGCACTGGAGGACAGGGAAGAGGGGAAGCTGGCACCCCCACCTCTTCCTGACCCCCTCCCCTGTTCCCAGGAAGTGGGGGTAGGGTACAAAGGGCACGCATGTGGGCAACTCGTGCAGGGCCCCCATGAGCGGAAGCACAGGGTAGGGGAGGTCCTGGAGGGAAGACAGTGGGTGGTGCTGAGGGAGCAGGGACTGGACGGGAAGGAGATTAAGGCTATGTGGGGTAAAGGGGTGAGAGGAGACACTGGAGGTGGCGCTGATGTAAGCAAGGTCCAGAGGGGCAGTGGCAACATCTCCCTCTCCAGCCCAGCTTACCTCCCTCCGGTGTCTCCACAGGAAACCAGTGGGTCCAGGCTGAGGGACCCTGGCTGCTGGCACATGCCACACGGATGTGATAAGGAGTATGAGGATGGAGGCTGCCCAGCCGAAGTTGGTGGGGGGGCACAGATGCTTGCAAGGTGAGGGGCTCCTCTGGGGGGTCTGGCTGTCCTGGCCAGACGCCCACCCCATCATCTGACAGCACAGCCTGGAGAAAGAGAAGGGTGTGAGGACAAGGCAAAGACACAATCACAAGAGGCGGCCACACAACATTCAACTGTGGTGGCCCTACACAACTTTGCAAGGACATGTGTATGCATGTCGGGTGTTGCAGCTCCATGCCAGGACAACATGGGCACCGGATTTGCAAAGCAAGGAGACCATTCAGCTGCATGATGTGGCTCTGTTGCCACTTACAAAAGTGACCTCTTGCCAGGCATGGTGGCTCACGCCTGTAATTTTACCACTCTAGGAGGCAAGGAGGGTGGATTGCCTGAGCTCAGGAGTTCAATATCAGCCTGAGCAAGAGCAAGACCCCATCTCTACTAAACATAGAAAATCTAGCTGGGCGTTGTGGCAGGCACCTTTAATCCCAGCTACTTGGGAGGCCGAGGCAAGAGGATCACTTGAATCCAAGAGACTGAGATTCCTATGAGCTATGATGACATCACAACACTTCTAGACTGGGCAAAAGAATGAAACTCTGTCTCAAAGAAAGAAAAAGCCACCTCTGGCAATATCTTTCCCAGAGCCTCAGTTTCATCTTTAGGAAAATAGGAGTTTAAAGAGCCAAAATACCACACGGGATTGTTTAAAGATTAAATGTAGACTCGGTGCCTGTGGTTACGATGCTGGCCACATACACCGAGGCTGGCAGGTTCGAACCCAGCCCAGGCCAGTTGAACAATGACAACTGCAACAAAAAATAGCCGGGGCTCAGCGCCTGTGGCTCAAGCATCTAAGGCGCCAGCCACATACACCTGAGCTGGCGGGTTTGAATCCAGCTGGAGCGGCCAAACAAGAAGATGGCTGCAACCAAAAAATAGCCAGGCATTGTGGCGGGCGCCTGTAGTCCCAGCTACTTGGGAGGTGGAGGCAGGAGAAGCGCTTGAACCCAGGAGTCGGAGGTTGCTGTGAGCTGTGATGCCATGGCACTCTACCCAGGGCAACAGCTTGAGGCTCTGTCTCAAAAAAACAAAAATAAATAAAATATAGCCAGGCATTGTGGTGGGCGCCTGTAGTCTCAGCTACTTGGGAGGCTGAGGCAAGAGAATCGCTTAAGCCCAAGAGTTTGAGGTTGCTGTGAGCTGTGATGCCACAGCACTCTATTGAGGGCAACACAGTGAAACTCTGTCTCAAAAAAAAAGTAATTAATTAAAATAAATGATTAAATGTAGTTATGTCTAAAGGACACAAAAGTGCATGCAGCTAGTCAGCATTGATAATAATGGTGCTAGCTGGAGTTACAACCATAATAGTAATAATGAATAAAAGTTCAAGGCTTAGCATGGTAGCTTATGCCTATAATCCGAGCACTCTGAGAGGCCCAGGCTGATGGATTGCTTGACCTCATGAGTTCGAGACCAGCCTGAGCAAGAACGAGACCCCATCTCTAAAAAAATAGCCAGGTGTTGTGGCAAGTGCCTGTAATCCTCACTACTTGGGAGGCTAAAGCAAGAGTATGGCTGGAGCCGAAAAGATTGAGGTTGCTGTGAGCTATAATGCCATACCACTCTATTGAAGGTGACAAAAGGAGACTCTGTCTCAAAAAAAAAAAAGTACAATATTGTGAGATCCCACACATATGATATTCTTCCACAGGCAAAGGCAATGCCTTCCAAGAGAAGCCAGAAGAGCGGTCATCTCTGGGGACAGAGGGAGCCTTCTTGGGGCTGGAAGGGTCTGTGTGTTGACTCGGCATGCAGTTACATGGGTGAAGATGTATGCAAACCAATCTAGGTGGACACCGAAGATTATGCATATCATGTGTTGTCTTAACAAAAAAAGACAAACATGTCCATCATTTACTGAGCACCATTCTAAAGCCCTTTACAAATCAAATTCATTTGACCTTCATATCAACTCTGTTGTACTGTGATAGGTGTGACATTTATCTCCATTACGCAGATGAGAACACTGAGACCCAGAGGGATGGAATCACTTGCCCAAGGTCACCAGTCTGGCAATGGTGAGCTGGGACCTGAATCCTGCTCTGTCTCCAAAGCCTTTGCTCTGCTTCTGTTAACATCGTCAACAGTAACAATATCACCTGTCTGTCCTGAGAGGCAGTGCAACCTGGGGCTGACGAGCACGGATGCTAGATCCGGGGCTCAAATTCAGCCTTTACCTTTCCCTAGCTTTGTTTCCTCATCTGTAAAATGAGGTAACAACAGTGGCTCCCTACTTTGCAGGGCTGAGTGAATTGGGGCATGTAAGCATGAGCCTGTGCACAGTGAGCTTTAGTCATTATCTTTTGTGTGTGTGTGTGTGTGTGTGTGAGAGAGAGAGAGAGAGAGAGAGACAGAGTCTCACTCTGTTGCCCAGGCTAGAGTGCCATGGCATCAGCCTAGCTTACAGCAACCTCCAACTCCTGGGCTCAAGTAATTTTCCTGCCTCAGCCTCCCAAGTAGCTGGTAATATAGGTCCCCACCATAACACCCAGTTAGATTTTCTATGTTTAGTAGAGATGGGGTCTCAGTCTTGCTCAGGTTGGTCTTGAATTCCTGAGCTTAGGTGATCCACAAGCCTCAGCCTCTCAGAGTGCTAGGATTACAGGTGTGAGCCACTACAGACAGCCAACAGCTAATATTTCTTAAGTGCCAAATATGTGCTAAGCCCCCTGTTAAGCATATTCCTGGATGAACTCATTGAGTTCTCACCACCACCTTTTGGGGTCAATTTCTTTTCTCATCCCCATTTTATAGAGGAGGAAATAGAGGCCCAGAGAAGTCCAGCAGCTTGCCCTAAGTCACACAGCACCCACATGGGCAGACGACACCAACACAAGACCTAGGGAAGAGGGGATCAGATGGTGGGTAGTAGGTGGGGGTGAGGCTGTCCCCATGCCTGCCCTTTGACCTGCAGCAGACAAGAAGAGGAACCTCTGCCAGGACAGAGGGGAGAAGGGTACAGACAGCCAGCCTCTTTGTACCCACTCCCACTTCTCTTTTCCCTGGGACAGCTGTGACCCTCCCTCTGGAACCCTTTAACCCTAGCCCATAAGCAGCAGGAAGTGAGACCTGGAGAGGGAAGAGGACACACTTCTGCTTTCCTAGGGACACTTGATGGATGTGGGTGGGGGTGCAGCTGATGCCAGACCTGGCATTTGAGGTCTCCTAAATCTGTCTGGCCTCTGAGATTGAATCTTACGCAACTACTCTTTGAGCCACTATGGGGGAGGGGGATCTTCCCCTCTCTGGACCTCAGTTCTTTACCTTGAAAATGGGAAGATTAACAGCTACTGTTAAAATGACAAGCAGGGAGCCCAAGAGTTTAAGGTTGCTGTAAGCTAAGCTGATGCCTCAGCATTCTAGCCTGGGCAACAGAGTGAGACTGACTCAAAAACAACAACAACAAATAAAAAAAATATGACTAGCAGATGATGTTGTGTCCAGGGTACATAAGAAAGACATCTCTATTTAATTGAGCACTGGCTCTAAGTGGTTTCTAAGGAGGCTAGGAGCACTGGTTCGTTTTGATGAGGCAAGGGTTTGTATCCACCCTTTGCCACTTCCTGGCTGTGACCTTGGGAAATTTGCTTAACTACTCTGAGCCTTAGTTTTTTCTTATAGAAAATAGGCATATCCATATACACCCTCCTTCACAAAGCGTTAACACAATGCTCAGCATGCAGTTGACACTAGATAAAGGTTGACCATTAGTCTTTACTGTCATCCCCCATCAAAGACACTCTCACCCTCACCTCCAGCTTCCATATCTCAGAGGATTTCAAATCAGAAGTCCTTGTACTTACAGATCTGTGTGTTTGGTTTGGTTTCGTTTTACTTATGGAGAAATTTCAGGGCAGAGGGTAGGGTCTAGCTGATCTCAGTTATAAGGTCTTATAATTTTTTTCTTATTTCTTTCTTTTGGAGACAGAGTCTCACTCTGTCACTCAGGCTAGAGTGCAGTGGTGTCATCATAGCTCACAGCAACCTCAGACTCTTGGGTTGCAGGAATTCTCCTGCCTCACCCTCCCAAGTAGCTGGGACTACAGGTGCCCTCCACAATGCCTGCCTAGTTTTTTTTATTATTTTGTAGAGATGGGGTCTCACTGTTGTTCAGGTTGGTCTCAAATTCCCGAGCTCAAGAAATCCATCAGCTTCGGCCTTCCAGAGTGCTAGGATTAGCTCCGTGCCTGTGGCTCAAGTGGCTAAGGCACCAGCCACATACACCTAAGGTGGCAGGTTCGAATCCAGCCTGGGCCCGCCAAACAACAATGATGGCAGCAACCAAAAAATAGCCGGGCATTGTGGCAGGCGACTGTAGTCACAGCTACTTGGGAGGCTGAGGTGGGAGGATTGCTTGAGCCCAGGAGTTAGAGGTTGCTGTAAGCTGTGATGCCACGGCACTCTACCCAGGGGGACAGCTTGAGGCTCTGTCTCAAAAAGAAAAACAAACAAAAAACAGAGTGCTAGGATTACAGGGATGAACCATGATGCCCAGCCTGCAATGTATTCTTCTAGCAAATATTCCCTACTTTGTGTCTAACCCTGTGGTGGGCAGTAATGAGGAGCCGGTGGTGACTGGGACAGCTTTAGCCCTCCTCTCACAGAGCTCACAGCCCAGTGGAGGACAGACCTACTTCCAGAACGTGACCACCCAGGATGCTCAGAGTTGTGGGTATCCAGTGGTGACAAAGACAGCTCCAGGCTCTGCTGTCTATCTCAGGGCTCCCACTCTGGCTAGAGTTAATATCACTAATACTAAAAATAATCAAAACAGCTCACAGTTTCTGACACATTTTCTATGTTCCAGATACTATTTTAAGTTGGTTACTTGCATTCACTCATTGAACTCTCACAAGCCTATCAGGCAGACACTACCATTATGTCTATCTGATAGATGAGATAACTGAGGCCCAGAGAGGTTAAGCCACCTGCCCAACCTCATACAGCCAGCAGGTGTAGAGCCAGTATTCGAACCAAGGACATCTAGCTTAACTCCAGGCTTCACTGTCTCTCAGCACACCACTGGCTGGGAAAGCCTGGCCTCCCAGGGACAGTGTGCAAGTAAGGATTGCTGAGACTGGGGGTAGACAGGTGGTGTGGGGGGCTCACCTGCAGCGTGCAGTAGGTAAGGGGGTAGATGCCACTCAGTCCTGGGGTCCAAGCCACCTCCAGCTCTGTGGGCTGGCGGGAAACCAGACGGAGGTCGTGGGGTCGTTGGGGAAGCACTGTGGACAGATGAGAAAGGGATTGACCCTGGGGGGCTATGCTGAAAGCTCCCCACCCTGCACTGTGTCTCCCCTCTAACCCCTGACCCAAGCCCTACACTCTGACACCCAACTCCCTTTCTTGTCACCTGTGATGGTGGCTGTACGAGATGTGGTGACCCCCTTGGCGTTATGGGCTTCACAGGAGAAAGAAGATGTCTTGTTCAGGCCTAGAGAGTCAAGTGAGAAATGGGTCTCATGTCAGTGGGGAAGAAGGGGCCCCCAGGCCATGCCAGGTCATCTTATGCAAGCCCAGTCTGACCAGGGTCAGTGGGCAGGGGAGAGCAATGCATCAGGAATACAGTCTCCACCCCCAACACAGGACAGGCCTATGGTCTGGGCCCTAACCCCACTATAGACACACATGCACACACATGCACATAGATGCACATACTCTTACACCCACACACACATTCTCATACATACATATACAGATACAGAAACACAAACACTCATTCATACACACATAGACACACACAGTCAAGAATATGCATACTCAGACACACACAGAAGTGCACACACTCACATACATGCACAAACACGCATACATCATACACTCACACTACCCCAGGCAGACACATGTAGAGGCACATATACCTAATGGACACAAACTTAAGGAAACAGGCCTGCGTGTGCATTTAAATGGGGAATTGTTTGTTCACTTAGAAGCTTATCTCTCACCAAGCCCTCTCTCTTCCTCCCCCGTTGCTTACCCTGCTCCTGCCACACTGGCCTCCTGATGTTTCTGGAAACTCGCGTCCTTGAGCATGTTCCCACCCTGGGAACTATGCACTTCTGTTTCTTCTACTTGGAACAGTCTTCCCACTCACACCCTCCCTCCTTCACATTAGACACTAGACTGACCCTCCTGTTTGAATTCAGAGCCTCCCCTCCACAGCTGGCCTTTTTCCTGCTTTACTTGTTCTCTTTGGTTTTTCTCATCACCCAGCATCATCAGACAGAAGAGACACACAGAGAGGCAACACACACAGAGAGAAACACACAGAGGCAACACACACAGCTACGCAACATACAGCAGTCCTCCCTTATCCATGGGGTTTGTTACCCTCAGTCCAACACCATCTAAAAATATGCCATGGAAAATTCCAGAAATAAACAATTCATACTTTTCAATTGCTCCCCATTCTGAGTAGCACGATGAACTCTCACGCTGTCCCACTCTGTCTGCCCGGGACATGAATCATGCCCTGTCCGGCATCTCTGTGATGTATCCGCTACCCACCTATTAGTCACTCAGCAGCCCTGTGGGTTATCAAATCCACTTGGTTATCACAGTGCTTTTGCTCCAGAAACCCTTATTTTACTTAGTAATGGTCCCTAAGGGCAAGAGTAGTAAGACTGGCAATTCAGATACACCAAAGGGAAGCCATAAAGTGCTTTCTTTAAGCAAAAAGGGGAAAGTTCTCAGCTTAATGAGGAGAGAAGAAAACTCTTATGCTAAGGCTGCTACCATCCACTGTAAGAACAAATCTTATCTGTGAAATTGTGAAGAAAAAAGAAATTTGTGGCTTGGCGCTTGTAAAGAAAGGAGAGAGAGAGAGAAGAAAAAAGAAAGAAAGAGAAAGAGAGAAAGGAAGAAATAAAGAAACAAAGAAATGAATTTGTGTGGCCAGGCGCCTGTAATCCTAGCACTCTGGGATGCAGAGGCAGAGGATTGCTTGAGCTGAGGAGTTCCAGACCAGCCTGAGCAAGAGTTAGACCCAGTCTCTACTAAACATGAAAAAACTAGCTGGGTATCTTCGCAGGCGACAGTAGTCCCAGCTACTGGGGAGGCTGAGGCAAGAGGATGGCTGGAGTTCAAGAGTTGGAAGTTGCTGTCAACTATGACAACACAGCACTGGCATTCTATCCAGGGCGACAGAGTGAAACTCTGTCCAAAAAAGAGAGAGAGAAAAGGAAAGAAAAAAGAAAAGAAAAGAAAGAAAGAAAAAGAAAGGGAAATTTATGCATAGTATATATAGGATTTGATACTATCTGCCGTTTCAGAAATCCATTGAGGTCTTGGAATTTATCCCGCCTGGATAAGGCGGAGACTGCTGTGTACAGACACACGCATCAGTGTACAAGAGCAACCGTTTTTCATGCCAGTGCTTATGCATCTGTGTTAAGGTGCGGACGTATTTGCGGCCCGTCTGTATTTGTGGATGTTGTGTACTTGTACGCGTTGGGTCTCTCGGTGTGCGTCTCTTGCATTTGTCCTGAGTTCCCACCGTCACTACGTTCACCACGGGAGGCGCTCAGTCCGCAGACATAAAGTTTCCTTCTCCCGGTCCGCAGGGGGAGTGGAACGGGCGGCCGGAAGCGGGTGGGCAGGGAAGCTCCTCGCTGCGGCTGCCCGGGCAGCCTGTTCCCAGCCAAGGTCAGGTGCCCGCGCGCGCGCACCCGCAGCCCCCGCGGCCCGGGGGAGGGACAGGACAGCCCGGGGCGGGCAGCCGGAGAGGGGGCAGGGAGCCTGGGCCCGGTCCAGCCACCTGGCACGTGGGGCCCCTCCAGGGTCACCGCGCGGGAGCTGGCGCCGCTGGCCCAGGAGCCCTGGGGCGGGAGAGGGATGCTGGAGCTGGGTCCTGTTCCGACCGCAGCATTCCAGCCGCTGCGTGAGTCACCGGGGGCGCCTCCCCACCCTAGCACTTCCGGCTGGCCTGGGGATGCGGAGCCGGGATCCCCCTTCCCAGGCCCCAGCGGCTGCACCTTGAGGGGGGGGACGGGAGAGATGACTTGGGACCCCTTCTGTCAGCGGGCTCTTGCTCCACGACAGAACAGGAGCAGGCCAGTGGACTCCAGATGTGCTTTCCAGATGTGCTACTCCACCCCTCCTTACGCTCCCCCCTTTGCTTTTCCGAGGGATGGAAGGAGGGGGGCATGGCTTGAGTCAGATAGAGGGACAGGCACACACAAACTGACAAAATTCCTTCACACAGCACCCCCACACACAATGAATCACACTTAGACACACAAAGGCCGTTATTGGTACAGATACACAGATAATGGAACCCTCACTAAGCTACACACAGATACACAAGGGCTGATGGTGTCACAAACATAGTGACACAAATATACAGCCCACATAGACACATAGGGGCTGACTTGATACATGGAGACAACCATGTATGCAGATGGGCCAGTGTGATGTGGGATAACCACATAAACAGACAATCACACGAATACGCACTGATGACACCTGGCCACACAATATACATCTGAACTGATTCTGACAGACACATAAACCCAAGCTGCCTAAGGTACACTGAGGTTGAGGTGCACAATAGGTAGGCACCAAGACGCAATGAAGGCTCCTGTTGACTTGCCCACGCACAAACACATTGACATATGCAGTCACAGCCAAGCCTTCAGCTGCGTCAAAACACAGCTGGACGTACTCAGGTTGCCTGCCTCATGTTCACCGAGAGGCAGAGAGGCAGACCTACACGAAAGCATAGTTTCCTAGACACTCAGTCTTGTGGCAGACACTGCTATGTACACGTAGGTGGGCACACACACATATACGAACACTGGCTGGTAAGCACCCTAGGTTCATCACAACAGGGCCCAGTGCACACAGGAAGACCAGATAAAAGCAGAGGGTGTTATTAGTTGTGAAATGCCACACAGATACACACATATGCGCACACATACAGACATAGAGGCCCATGGTGACAAAATCATATATATTAACATGCTTACTTTGTGACATGCACAGACACCACATAGACACTAATACATAGATATACACACAGAACAGCCAATAAGAAACACACCAAGTTAACCAATGACACATGGCAACCCACACCAGGACACACTCACACCCATAGTTGCACACTGTCACTTCCATAACAGGGAAGTGTGTGAAATAGCCATACAATACACTCGCTCCCCATTGACACTCCACTCCCACACTGTGAGTCTCAGCGGTGAACACACAAATGCAAAGGGGGACAGATATGCAGGCTGACTCTGGAAGACTCAGCCACACACACACACACACACACACACACACACAAACTGAGACATCCATAGAAACTGTCCTCCCTAAGACACACCTTGATACAAAGAGGTTGATGCTGGCAGATAAAATGACACACAGATCCACGGGGACAGACATCCAGAGACACACCCCACACACTCAGACACACACAGGCCCTCTCACACACGTGCTCCCCTATTTCTTCTTCTCCCTGGGATGGGGCAGGAGGGACTGCATCCTCCCCCTTCCCCTCCCCTGGGTCCTGCCAGGCTGACTCAGGCCCCATCCCAGGCCCTAGTCCCTACAAGGCCAACTGGACCATGGGCCTGAGTCACCCCTCTGGGGGCCAGCATACACACCACCGTTTCCTTGTAACTCAGGGCCCCGGGAATGCTGAGAATGTGGGCACCTCCCTATAGGCCAGAGACCCTCAGCCCCCAGGCCCCTCCTCATTCCAGTAGCAGGTTGGGGGTCTGGGGACATGATGCCCTTCAGGGTCCAGATGCCTCCCCTGACTGAGCCTCCCTCTCTGTGCTCCTTTGTCTTTTCTCCCTCATTAAGGAGGAACCTCTGAGGTCCAGGGTCCCCTAGCTCTGCCTCTGGCCACTGTGTGACCTCAAGCCAAGTTCTGCCCCTTATGTGTGGTTCAGAAGGGGGTGGTTACCTGGAAGGAGAGGGTTCTGTCCCTCAGACTTGCGTGTCCTGTCACTCTTCATTTGGGAGTACCTCTGTGGCCCATCCCTCTAGTGTTTCTTATTCTTTCTTTCTGTAACTAACCCTCTCTCCCACTTTCTACTCCCTTTTATCTTAGGGTTCTATCCTCCCAGTAGGCCTGGGCTGGACATCCTCCTTTGACTGAGGCCATCAGGGATCAGGTGGGCAGCTTGTGCAGGGAGGTGGAGGACAGGGGGCATGGTTGATTCCGGTACCCTGTTTGGGTCAAGGGCTGACAAAGGGGCACCAGGCCCACACACACTTGTGCCGTGGCACAGCATAGAGGAAATCCAGGACAAAGAATTCTATTCAGAGAGAGGCTGGGGTGAATGGAGGGAGAGAGACAGAGAGACAGACACACACTGAGAAAGAGAGAGAATGAGCTCAGAGAGACAGAAAGAGAAAGGCATACAGAGAGGCAGAGACTGACACTCAGAGACAGAAGAACAGAGGGACGGGCAGACACAGCAGCAGCAAGGATTCCCTTGCTTCCAATTTCTGCGCAGCCCAGCCTTCTGTGACTCTCTCCACTCAGCTGACCACACTTTTAGACTTACCTGGAACATGTAGGCTGTGCTGGGGGCCATGGCCCGGGGCTGCAGCCAGTGGGACTGCATCCTGGAGCCAGAGTAGGTCCACAGGTTCTGGGGGTCCCTGGGCTTGGCAGCTTAGGTTGAAGGGGGTGTTGGCGGCCATAGTCCTGTCCTCAGGCTCCTCCAGGAAGTAAGGCAGGCCTGGAGGGGCAGTGGTAGAAGCTGGGGCTCCCCTGAACTCCCCAGGTGTCTGACCCACCCCTAGGATGCTGGGGGCTTTGGACACTAGGCCGACACAACAGGGTCTTTGATCCTCCAGGATACCTGAGCATCCTTCAGATATCTGCCCTTCAAGCCTCTGTCCCCCCAAACATGTGATCCCAATGACTGATTCTTCCCATGTCACACCTCCAAGATATCTGATCCCGTTTGTCTCTTTTCCAGAATCTCTGACTCCTCATCTCATTTTACTGATGAGGAAATCGAGGGTCCTGGGGGTTGGAGGAGAGGGTAAGGTCTCACACTTCTTGTCCCTTATCTGATCCCCAGACTGTACTATCCTAATCATCTGACTTCTGAGACCTAGGGCATCCTAGGACATCAGACAACCTTTAAGATGTCTTTTCCCCCAGGACATATGGCTCACTTCCCCATAACTTGTGAACTCCCAGCTTCTCAATGCCCCAAGATTGCTGACATTCCAGGCAGTAGGTCCCCTGGAGTCACCCTGAATCCTCCAGCATGGGGTTCCTGACCTCCCACAATGTGCTTGCCACATCCCTCTGACTCCTCAGGACCTCTGACCCCAGAGCTCACCCTCCAGCCCTACGTAGCCAGGCTGGGACATGAAGGTCTGTCCTCCCAGGACCACCAGACACTGATACTGTCCTGTGTCCGAAAGCTGTAGGGATGAGATTCTGGCAGGGCAAGAGGAGGGACAGAGAGATTTGGGGATCAGAGCTGGACACTGGGAGGGGTTGATCTGAACTGAAAATGGGAGGGTCTGGGCTAGAAACTCATAAGAACTATGAAGTTCGCATAAGAACTATTATTAACTCATTTTACAGAAGAGGAAAGTGAAACCCAGAGGTTATGTCACATGCTCAAAGCCATACAGCTAGCAAGTGGTCAAGTTGGGGCTCCAGCCCAGGTAGGGCCCATGTGATGGAGCTGGGGGGGTGGGGTGTAGGGATGTGGCTGGACACCTGAGTTGGCTGACCACTTTCCAGTCGTCCTGCCCGTCATCACCCAGGGGCACCTGGGTCTGGGTGCTGTCTGCCAGCTCTAGGATCTGTCCATCCTGAAGCCAGGTCACCTCAGGGGGCTCCCCTTGAACCTGGAGCTCACACCTAAGGGTCCCCACGAGTCCTCTGGCACCTGTGATATTTCCTGGGTTCCCCACAAAAGGGTCTGCTTCAGCCTGTGCACCTACAGGGGAGATGTGTAGAAGTTAGCTTAGGAACCCCTAGTTCCACCCCAACCCTGCCTGCCCACTGGCTGCCAGGACCCTGCCAGGCCCTTAGGCCCACATAGTTGTAGAGTGATCTCAGGGGGGTGGAGGGAGGAGACTTCCCAAGGGACTAGTGGGGTCCAGTGTCCATCTCACTGGGAAGGAGGCCCGGGATCTGGCAGCCTCCCATGTCTGGGCTGCCAACAGGGCCACCCCCTGCCCCCCTCTGTCTTCCCTTAGGGTCTCTAGGGACTTAACAGATCAAGGGGGAAGAAAAGGGGCTGAGGAGGGAGATGAGAGGGGGAAAACAGAGAGAGAGAGAGAGGGCACCAGAGAAGCCAGAGAAAGTCAGGAATGGGGAGACTGAGAGAGGAACACAGATACAGAGAGAGACAGAGAACGAGATGGAGAGAAACACCCCTCAAGATGGGGGACAGAGTCACCCAGGGAGACTGAGGAGAGAGAAGGAGGGAGACTTAGGGGACAGGGAGAGAGATAAAGATGGAGATGAGAGAGAGAGAGAAGTGGACCCATGGAGATGGCAGAGCTGGAGGATGAAGACAGAGACCCTCCTCAAAGAGAGAGCAGAGTGGTGGGACGGGACAAGTTGGAGGGTTGACAGTGACCAGGATTCCCCCCTAGGGCTCATACTGCTGGCTGTCTAAGTGCTCCTTGGGGAATACTCCTCCTTCTCTGTCCAGGGCCTCCGACTCAAGTCCAGCCCCCACTCCTCCTTCCCTCAGCTTCTCTCTGTCCATCTCTTCCTCTCTGCCCCCCCCCCGTTTCTGTTTCTTGCCCTTCTGTTCCTCTGTCAGGCTCCTTCTCTCCCTTTGCCTCTTTTGGTGAGTCTCTGAGTCCCCGTGGCTCCCTGTCTCCCTCTCGCCAAGTGCCCATTCTGTTTTCCCAAAGAAATTCCCTAAGCTGCCCAGGCCCCTCACACCTGCCATCCACCCCACCTCCTCTCCTTCTTCCTACCCCAGCCCCTTGGTGGGGGCCTGCCCCCCAGCAACCCCCCATCACTCACCCTTGGGGGCCACGCACCCCCAGCAGCACAGCGCCAAGCACCAGGCCAGCGAGGTCCTGTCCATCCTGAGGCACCACCACACCACAGATGCCAAACTTTGCTCAGAAGTTGCTGGGCACCCCGCGGGGAGGGGGCAGGGCCGGGCTGTCCCCGGCCCTCCCCCCAGCTCTGGGCTACCCGGATTTGGCACTGATTGCCTGGCACAGAGAGAGCCCCTCGCCCAGCTCTGCTCCACAGTCGCCTTCCCCTAGCTCCCCTGCCTCCTCCTTCTCTCTCTCCCAGACTTCGGGCAACTCTTTCCCCGCCCCTGGCTCCCCCCCTGCCTCCGCCCACTACGCCGAAACCCAGGGGCCACTTGGACTGTGAGGGGTTAACTCTGAGAGGAGAGGACCAGCCCTGTCTTAAAGGGGCCCAGGAGGGAGGCTGAGGACACTGGGAAGGGGACCCTGTGGGCTGTGCCTCTAATCCTTGGCCAGGGAGGCTGGGAGGCTGTGTGTCTTTCTGTCCCGACTCTGGGCGCTGTCCCTCTGGGCTCTCCGTGTCTGGTAAACATTCCTCCAGAACTTCACTCCTGGCTCAGTGCGACGCCCCTCGCCCTCCCTCCCCCCGCCCCAAGCCCAGCCCCAGCCAGGCCTTCTTGGCCCTTTACTCCCCCTCACTCTCAGGGCTTCTTGGAGGACACACACACACAGAGGCTGGGACAGGCAGAGACATGCTGCAGGCCCACAGCCACGCTCAGACAAGCCAGATCAGGAGCTCCACTCCTGGAGAAACCAGGGAGGACACAACTGGTGGGCATCTGTGGGCAACACTTACTTGCTCAGGAAACCTGGATTGCAGGACACACTGGAAGCCCATAAAGATATATAAATGGGTCACCAGTGAACAGGCGTATGTGAGGGTGCCCAAAGACCCGAGTTGGAATCCTATTTCTTCCACATACAGTGTGATCATGGGCAAGTGAGCCTCAATTTGCTCATCTGTAAGATGGGATAAGAACAGAATCTGTTTAGCCAGCTAGTGAGAGAATGTTCTAGGTCAAAGTATGTGCAGTTCCTTGCATGCAGAGACCACATGTGACAAGGTGCCCAGAGTTTTTGCCATCTCATTTCCATCTCTCTGTGCACTTGTGCCACTCTCTGTGCACTTGTGCCACGCTCTCTCTCTCTCTCTCTCTGGTGAGGTCATCTTTGCAGATCTGGTGCCTGTGCACTGGTCTGCTGGGTATCCACTTCTGTGTCCCTGTGTGCTTTGCATGGGTGTCGGGGGTGGGAGTGGGGCTCTAGGTACCTGTGTAGGAGGGGGCTGGGCTTCCATCCATCTGCTCTTGGCCATTCCTGTCTGGGTAAGGTATCCCTGCAGCTCATCAAAGAGTCTTATCTGTTTGGCCTTCTGATGTCTCTCCTACCTGCCCCCTTTCCACACGCCCACCCTGGTTGGTTTTCTCTTCTCCTGCCTCCCCTCTTACTGCCTCCAACACAATTCTCCCTTCACAAAGACAGGGACATTTGTGAAACTCATATCATCCCTCCTCTGCATAACTGAGGCTCCCCTGCTGGCTGCTCAGGGCCCTTCACCATTAAGCTCCCTGGGCTGTTCCATTTTAGTGAAGGCCCTGTCCATTCTGGCCCCACCGCCAGCCTGAGCCTTGGGGTCCTCCTGGACACCCCCCACCTGGCAGTCAGTAAACAAGTTCCATGGAGGATTCACTGTTTCAAAGCACCTTCCCACCCACTTTCATCTCTCCCCACAACCTCATGGTATTTGTCCCCTCCTGCCTGCACCCAGACCTCCTTTCTGGGCTGCTGGCCTCTGCTCTTGCTCCCTGCAACCTGCCCTTGCCTTCCATGCAGCAGCCAGAGGGATGTTTCCCAAACCCAAACCCTCTCCTTTTCCATGTCCCAAACTTCTCAGCCAAAACCCCAAACTCCTTACCAAGGAGGCAGCCCTCCCTTGCCCCTCCTCCAGCTCTTCTCCCTTTCTCCCCCTAAGAACCTCCTCACAGGCCCTGGAGGATCCTCCTGGAGAGTACTTTGTCCCCAACTCTTACACCCTTCAGCCCATCGCCATCATCCCCTCTCCATGGTACCACTGTCTGGCCCCTCTCAGTCTAATCTGGTCCCCATGCTGTCCACTCCCTGTCCTTTTCTTTGGCAACATTTTGCATGCATTGTCATTATATATTTATTGACATAATTATGTGTCTCACATGTGTCTCTTCCCACAGGTACGTGGGCTCTGTGGGGGCAGGGAATGGGGTGTATCTTGGTCATGGCTGCATCCTCACCATGCTGTAAAAGGCCTGCCATGAAGGGGACAACTAATAATTGTGGAATTTTTAAGAGTACAAATATGTGCAAGGGTCTGCCCCCTTGTTTATTTATTTTTTATTTTTTAATTTTTTTTGAGACAGAGTCTCAAGCTGTTGCCCTGGGTAGAGTGCTGTGGCATCATAGCTCACAGCAACCTCCAACTTGGGCTCAAGTGATCTCTTGCCTCAGTTTATCTATTTTGTTTTAATAGAGACAGGGTCTCACTTTTGCTCAGGCTAGTCTCAAACTCGTGAGCTCAAGCAATCCACCCACCTCAGCCTTCCAGAGTGCTAGGATTATAGGTGTAAACCACTGCACCCGGCCTGTCCCCTTGTTTAGATACACTGGGGGTTTCTACCTGGGTAGGACTCAGTAGACCCAGCTGGGTACATGGCTAACTTTAACCTGTGAATTTGTTCATTCAAGAACTATTTGGCTCGGCACCTGTGGCTCAAGTGGCTAAGGCGCCAGCCACATACACCTAAGGCGGTGCATTCGAATCCTGCCCAGGCCGCCAAACAACAATGATGGCTGCAACCAAAAAATAGCCAGGTGTTGTGGCAG